CTAATATTTACATGAGGTTTTCTCTAGGATTTCTATATAGTGGATTGAGGAGCATAGTGTGGTTAGTCCATCTGCATGCTGGGACGTTTTACTCGAGCTGAAGCTTGTGTATTGTAGGAGGGTAGGTGCAAGTGAGAGAAATTAACATTAGAGGCAGGTAAGTCTCCCTGTCTCAAATCAAATACATAATATTACTGACTAGGGGAGGAAGAAATTTTTCTTGCAGTTGCTGGAAGAAACTGCTGGGGTTTTTTTGTTCCCCCCCCCCGCCCGTATTGAGGGGAGCTGGTATGAAAAGGAAGTGTTACAAGTGGCATCACAAAGAAAGGGGAATAGAAGATGGTGTGAATTACACTTCTGATAACTAGGATCAGAAACACCTTTCCCTGACATCATTCTCTCAAAAAATGGGATTTTCCACAGAATTTGGGTGGGACTGTCTCCTCCAGAAGACTGTGTAGCATTAAGGAATAATGTATTTATTGAAAATATAGAAAAAAATACCTTTGTTAATGAGCATCATACTGTGTTTATGAGGTTAGTTTGTAATTTGCAGCAGACTGCTTGCTGTTCCACTCTAATCTTTCTTGATTAATTGGATGAGAGAGAGTACGTTTCTCTAAACTTTTTTAAATTTACAAACAACAGAGTAATTTCGCTTATAGTAAAATCTATGTTAAGCAGCAGAGTTTACTTGTGCCAGTTTGTCATGTCTTTTGATGGCTAACTGCACACTTTAAAATAATGGAGGGTGGTGAGTCATTGAAGCAGCACTTCTGACATCTTTCCCACCTGATCCTACTGACTCTGTGAACAGGCTAAACAAGAGCCTTGGGGAAGAAGGTTCTTTGAGCACCGAGAGAAGCAGAAGATGGGGACCTGGAAATAGTCCTAAGACTATTTTTACTCTAGTCAAACAATGACAGGGAATGTTCCCAGGCACTGGAACATACTACTATGTACTGTTAAATTGTTAGAACAGTTCCTGGCATGCTTTTGACTCACATCAAGTAGCTTTCTCCCAAACAATTCTTTGGCTGTGCTTGAGACAATCTAGTCTCTTCTGAAGAAGACATACTTCAATACAAGACTCATACCGTGCTGCTTTTGCAGAATTAAGTTTAAGGTTGAATTTAACGAGGCTTACATATTTGGGGCAGTCAGACATAATAGCATGGAATCTGCTTCAGTCTTGTTAGTCGTCTTGTAAAGATTTATAGTGGCAACATTCCTTTCGTGAACCATAGGTACTAAAAATAACTTCTAAATAATTTTATTTAAAGGCTAATGATTCCTGTTTGGTGTGTCTCGGTTAAAATAGTTTTTAAATGGATGCAGGAGAACAATTTTAAGTAAGTCTTATGAAGTAGCTACCCAAGTCAGTTACTCAAAAGAAACCATTCAAGGATATTCCTTCAAACAGCAAACCAATGAATATTAATTAAATCCAAGACTAAACACTACTATTTCTCTCATTACTAATGCGGTTTTGTAGATCTGCAATGTCATAGGTGATTTCCCAGCTCCTTTAGTAAAGGAAATGTCAGCCAGACTTCTGTAACTGCTACAGTCATATGGCCTGCATACCTCATTAACAAAGGTTGTCATGTACTACAGAAGAATTAGGGAGATACTGTTCTTGCAGAGAAAACCTGGATATACTACTTTCCGTGTAACCTAGGCAGGAGAGTTCATTTGCAGCCTAAAGGACTGTAAAACTTAAGGGAAGAAGGAGGTGGAATCTGCCAGTGCTTACAAGTAAGAAATAATAGTGTATTGCCTTTATTTGAGAGTTTAAGTGTATCAATTTAGTGGAAACCCTGAATTTTGTGAGAGCAACAGGGTATGCCTGTGTTATTGGTGATGAAAGACTATCAAATCCATTTTGCCAGTTATAAAAATCCACTTTTATTTTAGATGACACGTAACAGTCTCTTCCACAGAAATATATAATTTTAACCATTTTATAGTTCTGAAAATTTGTTACTGTTTTCAGTTACAGTGTTCATAGAGGTAATTCTTAGGAGAATAAAAGGTGTAAACTCTGGCATGGCTTGATAATCTAATTTTCTATGTGTTGAAATGTGGTTTGTGTCCTTGATTGGCTGGGTTTTTTTGTTTCTTTGGGTTTTTGGGGTTTTTTTTGTTCGTTTGTTTGTTTTTTACTGCATTTATATGGCTGTTACATTACAGGGCTTGACAATCCTGTCACTTCCATCCCTATCTTTTGGATACAACAACTCAATTGGATATACGAATCTGTGATGAGCAGTGTAGTTAGGGGTGAAAACAAAGTTCACTGCTCATTCAAATCAGAGATTTATAATCCTTTTCTGTGACTTTATGCTAGGAGGAAAAATCTTCTGTCAGTCTTCACTGGATTTGAAATTGACTGTTGTTATTCTTTATCAACTCAATACCTTTATGGGTTGCTTTGGTTGGCAGTTTTGGTTCATGGACACCCAAGCAATTCTGATGCATGCAGTGTGATTTTAATTTTTCTTCCTTTTCAATGGTTATTAATTCTGCCCTTTCGGGAAATCCCAGTTGAAACTGCAATATATCTAAGTATCTCTACTTTCTTTTATTTAAGTTCTCAATAAATAATTTAAGCTCAAATACTGCCTTGTCTTAAAATTTTAGTATAGCAATTTGAAAAAAACACAGTCATAAAGAATTTAGCTTAACTAGCTTTCTATTTAAGTCACAAACTAATATTAATATATTTATATACACACTTTCTATTTAAATCTCTGAGTAATGTTAAAACCCAAGTGCATTATATTAACATTGGTAAGCAGTCACGGTATCAAATTATGTTTCTTTGTGTGATTCCTACTTGATTTCCATAATGTTTTTAATAAACTGTTATATGAAACTTGCATTGGCAAGTTTCTTATAAACTTATCAAAGTTTACACAACTTCAAATATGTCATCAATTAAATGCTTTCATTTTCAAGAGGACACAGGCATTTGAAGGTAATAGAAAGTGTAGAAAACATAATCTATTGGTACTTTCTAAACATTCTTAGAGATTATGCCTTTCAAAATAGTTACAAAAAAGTTAGTTTCAATAAGAATTTTTGCTATGTGGAAAAAAATGGCAAGACAGTCTTAATAACATACTTTATGGCCCTATTGACACCTCTAATGTATCTATTGTTCCTTTTTGTATGTTTTCGTTAAAATCAAGGGTTTTTTTAATGCCTCAACAAAAGTATATTGCAAAAATTATGAGTTCATTTAAAAAATAAAAAAAATTCTAAGCCAATTGATATCTTATGACAGACTTTCGTGTTCTACTTTTTGATAAATACATTTTGCTAATAGTTTAGTCATAACAGTTCTCTTTACAATCTACTTATAGTATGTTACACACTGATACTAAAACTCTCCTGAGATAGTCTGTATAAAGTATGTTTATACATAAACTAGAACTAGTTTATGATAGTTTTAACTAGCAGTTAAAACATCTAGAGACATCTTTCAAAAATAGAAGTAAACAAAGAAACGCAAAATACAAATTTTCACCTTGTACAACTGAACACTTATGTCTGCTTCTGACAGTTCTCTAAATGACAGGAAGAAGCTTCTTATATTTTTTATTAGCCTAAAATTTCAGTTAAAAAATAGAAACATAACAGTATACATAATTGTCTGCTTTTTGAGCTTAAGTGTTTTCTACACAGTAACAGTTAGCAGAAAATGGTTCTACTTGTACCTGCTATCTTTGCACTTCATTACATGGTGTAAATATGTCTGTAGATTTAGGGAGGAGATATTTAATAGAATTCTTTTTTTGTGGCCTTGCACACAATACTAAAAAAACCCTCTTTCTCTCCTAAAAGACTGTGGGAAGTAGATTTCTTATAGTTCCAAAGATACCTGTTACATTTAGTCTCAAGTTATCCATTAGATTTGTGACAGCAAGAGTACTGGTCTGAGGAATAAAAATTAGGAATGGAAATTTTATTTAATTTACTGCTTTTCATAGCTAGTTAGGCTTTGAATCAGATGGTTTTTCTTTAAAATGAAAAAAATTGAATGCTGAAGTAATACATGTTGTGGGGTTTGTTGTTCCCGCCACCCCCTGATCTGAACTATTCTCCCCTCCTTTACACAGCTGAATGCACAAATTAAAATTTTTATTAATTATTTTAGGACTCAGAATATTCAGATTATCTTTGAGATCACTTGATGGAGAGATCTCAGTTCTCCAGACAGTGATTGTTGGTTTTTGGAAAGACCTGATTTGTGGCAAATTTGTAGAAAATTTTATTTACAATTGTTTAGATGTGTACAGCAAAGTACTGTATTTTACAGAAAGAAAAACCTCTGTGGATTATGTTGCTGTGTCATCCACATACCTAAAAATATTTATTAGTTTGTACTTTTAAACATAGCATTTACATCATTTAGACATTTGCCTCCTTTATTGTTTCTTGTATTGTGGCAGTGCAGTATATTATTTTATTGAGAGTGCATGCAGATTAAAATACTATCTTTTATTCTGCTTAGGTATGTTTTCTATTCTGTATTTGGTATGTGGTCAGTTAGTCTGAGCAGCAGTCCATTAATAAGCAGGGTTTTTTTTATTCTGTATCCTGTAGAGAGGAAATTTTCTTTCATTGGATGATATGCATGCTCATTGAAAGAGAACTAGCAAACTTGGAAAAATGCCAAAAAAAAAGCATTCCAACACTGAGAATCATGTTGATGAAATGTGAACTCTGAGTCCAAATGTTAGCTTATTCTGACAGATTTACAAATGAGAAAGTCATTTAAAATCTTGAAGGTATTCTACTTTACGTTAGGATAGTGAAGTATGTTCAATAACTGTTCATGTTCACAGTGAAGATTTCACATAAAACTTTACAGGAGCTGAAGCTTACTCATCCATTTTAATATGAGATGTGTTATAGCAGGGTGGCTTGTGTGATTTATGACATTCGTCAGTTTTTCAGAAAAAAATACGCCTTTGTGTATATCTTCTCTTCAGCTTCACTTTTTCATGCATGCTTACAGAACCCGAAGGATTGCAGCAAAGCTAAGAAACTTGTGTGTAATATCAACAAAGGCTGTGGCTATGGTTGTCAACTTCATCATGTAGTCTACTGCTTCATGATCGCTTATGGCACTCGGCGAACACTCATCTTAGAGTCTCAGAATTGGCGCTATGCTACCGGTGGCTGGGAGACGGTATTTAGGCCTGTAAGCGAGACGTGTACTGACAGATCAGGTACCACCACTGGACACTGGTCAGGTAAGACTTAGTAACTCAGTGTCTCCTTGTTTTTTGCAGCTTCATTCACATAGAACTATTTTGTTACCTCTTTCTTTAATGTTATGTGGAACGTAATAACTATGACTGCAATTGTATAATGTAAGCATCTTTTTAATCTTATTTTTGCATTATATTGAAAAAATATTATCCTGATTAAGATATCTCTGCTTTGTCAGAGTTTTTTGAATACAAAATTTTTGTTTTTCATATTTAAATTCTAATCCTCCAGCAGTCTGTGTTATGTGCCAGATATGAATCCAATTTTTATGGGAAGAGAGTATTAAATAGATGCTGTTGTTGGTAAACTTTAAAACAATAAAGCATGTTTCACATATAAAGCAAAAGAAATACAAAAAAAGGTATCCAATAGTCATTCACACACCAACAAAATAATGAAATAATTGAAATAATGTTTAATGTAAACTGAACTGACTCGAAGTTGAGGTTGTAAAAACAGTGGCAATGTTAAATACCTGTGTATTTGTAGATCATTAGGTTGATCCATTCTTATACTAGGCTGAACAATTTTGCTGGAATAACTAGATGGGCATTCATGTTTGGAGGATCAGATAGGTTTGTCTCAAAGTAAACAGCATTCTGTTTAATGGAATTCTCACAGTCAACATCTTGAGTTATTAACATCTGCATGGTTTTATAGTTTTTTCTAAATGTTTAAAACATTTTTCAGGCATTTGTCAAAATTGAGTAGGTTTACAGTACAACTGCAGATGGCTGTCAATATGCTGACTTTTTGCTCTCAATTTATGACAAATACTAGGAAGAATTTTTAAAATTAAATTTCTGCACAGATAATTTTTCTGTGAACAATTGTCAGCTTTTTAAAACACAAATTTTATTGACTCTTCCTCTTTTGTTGGGCATACTTATTTTTTCTAAGTTTGTAACAGATATTACAGTGGGAGTCTATAAATGTTAAAATAAATGCAGGGAAGGCATAATTGATCAAAAAGAATACAGCTGACTGTTCATAGCCAAGGCTAGGTAAATTTAATGAGGTGATTTAATTGACATAAGGAGATACTTGGAAAAAACATAATTAAACAATTGGGTTAGAGAGAGGTGGAACCTTAATTTTAATAATATTTTGTATTATTGACAGTTATAGTCCACGTAATAATTATTGGATGAGTAGATAAGCTAACAATGGGTACAAAATGGGCTAAGCGATGGACAAAAACAATTAAGAGTGGGAAACAGTAAGCCAGATATTGTGCCACTTTTCAGACTATAGCTGTTCATTTATCAGCACTGATGGAAATTTTGATTGTTAGCATGCGGTACATTACTCTTATCCTAGAAAGGAATTTTGGTTCGGTAACTCTCTGCTTAAGGACAGATAAGAAGGACTGATATTTTTTTATTATTATGCTAGTTGTGCCTGCAGACTCAAGAACAGACTAAAGAATTTCTTTCCAGTACATTCTGAAAGATGTATTTGGCAGCAGCTGTTGTGACTTGGATTTTATTGGGATATTTTAAAAATTTGTAGGCATTTTCAATAGACAGTTGTGTAGACTACACTCCTCAGTAAGAGACAGTGCACTGATGAGATGTTATTTTAGCATACAGTTTTGTCATTAGAACTACAGGAGGTACAGCATGACTTTTGCAGACCAGTACTAGCCAATGCCATAGAGACAATATACAGTTTGTCTGTTTGGATAGCAAGCAGAGCTTTTCAGTTCTGGGTTGACAAACTCGTCTGTTGTCCGTCCTGTCCCTGCCCCTAACACCTCCATCTTCATTCTTCCTCTTCTGTTGAATAACCCTGATACACAGATTTTTTTGATGGTGTGTACAGTTAGATGCAGGAAAGAATGGTCAAATCTTCAAGTCATCAAGAGACTGTACCCTGTACCCTAGAGTCACAAGAAACGTTCTCCTTCCTTAATTTCTGACAGGTACAGAGTTACACTGTGTTTCAGAAGAACTCTGAACTAGTCGCTGGGCTTGGAAATTACCAACAATACCGAGAGGAAAAGAAAAATATAGAGGTTCATTCCTTTGCTTCATCTGTCTTTCTGCTTTTGAAATGGTGGAACATATGGCCAATCCCATACCTACTTCCAGACAGGGAAAAATTGGCTGTTCTGACAAGTGTCTCAGGTTTCATTTGTCATAGTGATTGTGCCTCTCATAGTTTCTTAAATTATTTAAGTCCTCAAGCCTATTATGTTACCTTTCAAGGATTTCTAGTTACATATGGTGGAAGTGTCTGTATCTTCAACAATTGTACTACTTGGAATGATTGCTTTATAGTTATTTTACTTTCTACTAAAAATTCTTGGGAGTTTTTTCCTGCAGTATGGGCTCTCCTCTTCAGGGAGGTTTAGACTGGATATTAGGAAAAATTTCTTTACCGAGAGGGTGATCAAACATTGGAACAGGCTGCCCTGGGAGGTGGTGGAGTCATTGTCACTGGAAGTATTAAAAAAAAACGTGTAAACGTGGCACTTCAGGACATGGTTTAATGGGCATGGTGGTGTTGGGTTGATGGTTGGACTTGATGATCTTAAAGGTCTTCTCCAACGTTAATGATTCTGTGATTCTTGCCGATGAATGTACAAGTAATGTTACCTACAGTTTTATGGGGCTTTTTGTGTGTTGCTTTTTTTTTTTTTTTAATTACTTTCTAGATCAAGATGAATAGTTTGAAGGCTGAATGCATGAAATCGCTTGATTTTGTTTACGTTTTTATTGAAATTAATGAATGCGCCTAATTTGAGTTTTGATGTTCTGGAGATAGAAGACATTCAGCTATGAAAGAGAACCTTTCTATGGTTAGCCTACTGGCTAGCCACACACGCTATAAACTGTGTTAAATTCAAATCTTCTGCAATGACATGATCACCGAGGAAGAACGATACTGACAGTCAATCTCTTATACTAGCTTCAGTGGTTTCAGTAGGCATTTTCACTGGATACTTAATTGCTGGTAAATTTTAAAGACCTTCTATCTTGCTGAAGATTTCTGTATGTTTTTATGCCTTTTTAAATTTATATAGATTTTGATTTTTTTTTTTTGTTTTTATTCCTTGTGCTTTTACAAGGAAAAATAAGTCTGAAATTCTTAACTGTAATTAAAAACAGTTTGTCTGCAAAACCACACCTTTCTTTTCTTTTTTTTTCCTACCACTTCTGAGATCAGCATGGGATTTTCTAGATTTTCTAAATAAATTTATAAAAATGCATTGACATTTATAAATTTCCATTTCTCATAAACAAAATGTTTCTCCTATATATTGTACTTACTATGCTGTGTATATGGGTTTTTAATTAAAAAAAAGTTTTTTAATGATGTATCTAAAATATTCATACAAGTGAATACTTATAACAAGATGTCAGTGTAAATTACAGAAATAGGCCAAAAAGTCAGGAATAAAGAATTACTTTCATGTCATTTGCAGACCTGCATTGATAATAATTTAGTAAACTGTGCTTCATGACAGAATCGTTTAAACCTGTACATTTATCTTTTTTTTTTAATTAAATTGCCTCTGCTTGACACTTTTATTTTAGCTGTATTAGCAACATAAAGTTTTGAGGTTTCTGAAGTCTATCTTCAGGAAAACAATTTAGATAGCAATCCCTTCTACAAAGAATTAAGATGCTTATATGAGCTGAGACTATATATATATTTAAAATTAGCATGTTTTTGCAATTTGGGAAGTAGGGTGAATTTTAATAAGCAAGCTGACATTAGTCTGATAGCAAAAGATTAGTAAGCCATGTTCTCATTTGTGTGGAGAATTAGGGGTCATCTTATCCTTTGTCCTCTCTGGTAGGAATTGTTCTTTGCGTTTGACACAGTATTCCTACAAGTTCATTTTTTCTAGCCTAAATATGTTAAAAGATTGAGAATTCTGTTAAAAGTTTTTTTAAATGCAGCAGTTACTTTACACTTTTCCTTTTCCTTTGTTTCATTCATGTTCATACTGTCATTCTTGAGAAAGAAAAACACCTTAATAAGAAATGGTGTATGCATCTTCTCTTTAATTTTGAAAGTATACCTTGCCTGCAATTGTACCTTACTTGTAGTTTATTTTTCCTTGATATCTATGCCAAACTATTTACGAATAATGTAGTAGAAGAATGAGTTATTATGAATAATGATTCCTAGTAATAACAGCCAAAATATAGAACTTGTAAAGACTATTTATCATTAAATTTTTGATTAATTTTCTTTAAAATAGTGAGTTATATAGAGCATGAATGTTTTTAATTGCCAGGTCATAATGTTCTGTTATCATTGCAACGTGCTAAAACAGGGTAGGTCTCTTTTTATCAGTTTTTATTTGCTGATTTGTGATGCCCTAGTGGCATTCCCCAATAATACATTGACGAGGGCTATAACATAACTAGATTAAAAAATGGAACCATACAATAAATGGGAAAAGAAAACAGATTAAGAGAAAGGACAGATTAATATATGGTTAGAAGGCATATCTGCATTACATGATGGTGAATGAAGGGCGATAAAGAAGCCATCTACATGTTTTAAATAACAGTGTGTGCTCCTTCCCATAAGGTCTGGAAACCAGTAAGATGAAAGATAACTTTCAAAAGGAAACCTGAAACAAAGTTTCCTGCAGTTGTCTTTGAATATTGACTTTGCTGCCTCTAGCCATGGTTTGATGAATTAATGCTTTTAAGGCAGTGGTACCCAGAGGGGAAAAAATGGCAGAGCTCTTCATTTGGTGGTAGTGTCAGCTTTTATGTGTTCATTGAACTATAACCTTAACATACAAATTAACTAATACATGTATACGTATACTTCAAGAAAGAGGATACTGTGGGTACACAAAACTAATTTTTAATTTATTAAAGCCAATCAGGCAATAGTAATCAAAAGGATTAAATGCAAATTGCAAACTCAAACCATAAAAAGTTCTACAGAATTAATTGCAATAAATAAAAATGTTTAATTCCATGAAGTAGATCTTCTTTGACAGTAGTTT